GGTCTGATGTTTTCAATACATTCTGCGTTGAAATGAATGTTTGATCATGAACCGATTTGGGTTTAGATTGTGATTCACCGGTATCATTTATACCTAAACAGACTGTAGGGAGCAAGTAAACACATGCGTTCATGTGTGCCACAGGAAAAATTATGTGGTTCCACCGCTTACATCAGGGATATGGACACTCTCCTACCCAGAGTTCTGTTAGTCATCGCTGGGCCGGAGTGTGGGATATGGACAGCACTTGGAAAGACCACTTGGAAGAAAGATCACAGTCTATAAAATGTTTATTGAAGTTAAATCTGTAGATCAGAAACAAGTTTAAGAAAATACGGCAGTCATGTGTTAGAGGGAAGTATTTGTAAGAATTATGTTTCACACTATCATCAGTTAACCAATTGGCACATCAGCTTGAAACTTGAAAGAGCTATTTTTGTATCTGTTCCAGTGAATCAGTGTTAAAGCTAGTTTGTCCCTTGGTGCAGATGGCACCTGGCACCCTCTTGTGTAGGAAATGGCATTAGGCATGACTGGAAGCACTCTTTGCCTTGTATAAGGGATCATTGAATATTGGAAGTTTTACTGAATGTTACAGAAAAAAACAAAAACAAAATCTTATTCCAATGTCATACATAATTTTTATTCAGAAATCATGTAAAGGACATTCAAGTTACCCAGTGAGTGAGTTGGGTTTTACGTGGCTTTTAAGAATATTTCAGCCATAACACATAGAGGGAGGGGAGGGGGGGGGGAAGAGAGGACACCAGAAATGGGCTTCACACATTCTACCCATGTGGGAATCGAACCCAGGCCTTCGGCTCCACTATCCCATTTACACAGTGCAAAATGAATGTAGTTTTCATAAAATAATCACAAAAACATAGTATGTATATATATATATGCCAGTAGTTACAAAATGATTTACTCAAATACAAAGCTGAATCCACTAGTACAGCAATGAATAATTTTTGTTTTACAGCTGTGATGTCACAATGATTGAAAATAACCTTTATATTATATGAATTAATTTGGAGGTGATAATCTGTAAAAATTGCACTGTGAATGTATGTCATATTAAAGTTTGTATTGGACTTGTGTCCTTCTCAATACTTCAGTTCTGTTGTATTTTTTTGTTGTGCATTTTTGTGAGGTGTTCTGAAACTGGAAACATTCTAAGGGTTCCAAGCACAAGGGTTCAGCCACAAGGTCCAGCCACCAGTTTAAAAAACTAAGACACAAAACAATTTTTTTGGAGAGAATTGATACTACAATATTTTCTTTAAATGCTATGTGACTTTATTACAAAACTGTACAGTAACAGTATGCTAATCACCGTTCCTACTTATCATTTTCAGGTTATCAATTCATACATTGAGCTTATAGACATTCCTGGGGCAGTTGGCCTGCTGATTATCTATATTATTCAATATTTGTACGTCTTTTCAGGACTAGCTGTGCTATCAACAAATTAACAGACTTTCTACTCACTATGAGCCTGGAGACTTTCTTGCTTATCTGCCTTACTTGCTTCTCAGTGGGAAGATATGTGTATGTGCCGCTGCTTGTACTAGCCCAGACTTAAGCTGGTTTTATAGTGCTAGCCCACTGAGATACCATGCCGCAGTGAAGCATGAATACCGCACTCAGACATATTATACTGACTCCGAGCCGACCAGTCCTTGTTGTACCCATTAATGCCGAGCACCAGGCAGGGACCAACAAGTAGCATATTTTAACGTCTTTTGGTATGACGCGGTTGGGGGTCGAACCCGGGACCTTCCGCTCTAACCACTACACCACGGAGGCGGTCATTTTCTGTGTCATGGCAAACACTGCTTATGAGATATCAGAGGAACCAAGCCTTGGGACTATTGCAAGTTGGCCAGACTCCACGGAGGGTATTTTAATGTTCATGTAAGGACAATCTACCAACTGCAGGAGCGGTATCAGTCCACTAACAGCATCCAGGACCATCCACGTAGTGGAAGACTACCTTCAGTAACATCACAGCGTCAAGACCGACAGATTGTGTGCAACCATCAGGATTGCTTCACAAGAGCAACGGAAACAACACAGGAGACCATTAGTGACGATACAATGCGTCAACATTGGCGTGGAATAAACCTCTGCTGTCAAGGACCATATTGTGGTCCTGTCCTCACCGCTCGTCACCTCCACAACCGACTGCAATGGGCAACTCAGCATCGAAACTGGGGTTATCAACAATGGAGAAGTGTGCTTTCTTTTTGGATGAAAGCCAATATTGTGTTTTGACAGCCGATGGCAGAGTGAGAGTATGGCGAAGTCGTGGGGAACTGTTTTCCAATAAGTGTATTGTTGAAAGATACTTGTTGGGTGGTCCAAGCATTATGGTATGGGGTGCAATCGGTCTGAACCAGAGAGCTGGCCCCTTGGCTGCTCGCTATATTGACCAAATCATAAGACCCCACGTTGTACCACATTTTGGACGTCACAGAAATCATACCTTCCAGCACAACAATGCTTGTGCCACACTGCCAGGGTAACATTGGACTTCCTAAGACAACATGGCATCCAAATCCTACAATGGCCTGCACTTAGTCCTGATTTAAGTCCAATAGAACACCTTTGGGCCGAGATTCAAAGAAGACACCTACTGCGGCTGGACTCGATCAGGCATTTCGCCGAGTATTGACCCATGTGCCTATGGCCTTCATCAATCAGCTAATTCATTCTATGTACAGATGATGCAACACCGCCATCGATGCTCATGGAGGTCACACACGATACTGACTTTCAGGTATCTTAATGGTACTTTTTTTGGTGATTTAGTTTGAATGAAGTTTGAACTCAATCATCCGTTTTGATTGTTAATCAGAGCGAATTAAAGTGTGTGCTTTAAGAAACGTCTATTGGTGTCATGTTTCTTTTGCAGTTCAGTATATATAGTTTTATCCCAATACCTTGAGCAAGTCAGGCTGGAAATAACATGTCAACAAATCTGAAAGTAAATACACAATTTAATCATATAATTACACTGGCTGCTATCAAAAGTGTTCATTATATATCTGGACTTATCTTTTTTTATATTAATTTTATTTGTAATTTCATTCAATATTGTTTACATTAAATTCAGCGAAAGAGTGCGTGAAGTTATTGGCAGTGTACCAACTCACTGATTTTTACAGCAACCCTTGTCAGATACCACTAGTAATGCCTTGAAAGGAACTTTTGTTGACAGAGAATGGATGTATTGATTGTAAATGCCATACATTGACTTTTTATTTGATATTTGTTGCAGTTTAATGATAAGGTGTCATCATAATGTTTTTCTGATCAATAGTGCAGGAACTTCGACAAGGACAAGTACTTCCACACATAAAATATCAGCTGTACCAAAGAGCTCCTTATGCAAAGTGATTCCTGACTCGTACTGATTGCTTCTCTGTCAGAGAGAGAGAGAGAGAGGGGGGGAGGAGAAGGAGGAGGCAAAGAAGGAGAGGAGATAGTGTAGGAGTCAGGGTAGGTATAAAGTAATTTTTTCTCAAAAAAAACAACAACACATTTTTTTTTTTCTTATCCTGACTCATATTGATTGCTTGAATTCATCACCTTCATGAGGGTGGTGGGCAGCCACCTGGATGATCTGTTCATATAACACCTTGTGTGCTATTCTTCTTATTTCTTCATATGGGGTTTCATGTTCTTTTTTTGGAAAAAAAAAATCTTATTTTTTTGTGGATTTGTAAGACTAAACTGTGTTCTTACCAGTCTTTAAAACGATCAATACGTTAAGGACAAAACTGTGTTCTTACCAGTCTTTAAAACGATCAATACGTTAAGGATGTGTTGCACACTTAACTGAACGGTCACTCATGCTCTGAATTAATCAGTAACACAGGGGCATGGATTTCTCTGTTGGTTACAAGTATTTTGGTGAGTACCTGGCAAGAATACTTTCATAGCATCATTATATGAACTGAATGCCATGTACTGATGCAAGCTACAGTCACCCAAAACAGTATTCTAGTTTTTATAAAAGTTCAATTGATGCATATGATGCATCCGTGAAGTAGGTTCAATGATGCCCAACTAGACTGTCAAAACATCTTTGTACTAACAACATTGTTGAACTGTTCACTTGTGACATCCTTGTCATCTAAGTACTAGCTGTATCTCTGTTTTAATCTGGTCTGTAAGAGGCAATATTTTTGGGTGAGTGAGTGTATGAGTATGATTTTACGCCTCTTCCACAATATTCCTACAACACCACTTCGAATGAAGGCAAAAAGACAATTTATATGCTGTCTCCATGTCAGGAATTGAATGCAGGTGCCAGTCTTGAATTGCCAGCACTTGTGCTGATGTGAAGAGTCCTGACATCAACTGTCATTGGTTGATTGATATGTTTGTTTATTATCAGAGGATTTACTGCTACAGGAGGTGGCTGTGACCCTTCCTGAAAATCTTCGATACAAAAGTGTCTTTTAGACTTTTTACAAAAAGATGTCAGTCTTCCACATAAACACAAGAAATATTTTCCCAAACATCCCTTTCGACAAAATGGAGAAAGTGAAAAGTCACTGGCTTGGTCACATTGGTCAAGTGTGTATGTACAGTAGAGGGGTATTTTCGAGGGAGACATTATTTTCTGTTCTTAAGAAACAGAACACAGAGAATTTCCACCATATCTTGCGTGGAAGGAGAGGGAAGCAATCACTATGAGTCATCACTATGAATATCTTGTATTTAAATTAAATATATTTGATTATCAAAATCACTTGCTCTGGCAGTAGAATGTCTTCTGATAGCAACTAGGAAAGCAGCCTTTGATAATCTTTATGATTGCATGCAGGGTTTGATATTTAGCAGGAATGCCAAAGGATTGATGTCATAAATGTTAAATATTAAGATACCCCAGACCTAAATATCATCTTTATTTAAAAAACTGCTGCATGCATTGAAAAATACATGTTACACATGGATCATGTGTCTTTCAAAAATATCATTTCTTCTGCTGAATGAAAACACAGGTTTATTCTGATATTACTTTGACAGATCACAGTGAATGGTATATTTCATATCGTCTCCAAAAAGTAAATTACTAATTGTAACTTTCTTCATATATAGAGAGTCTTGTCTGATGTATGGCATAAAAAAATCACATGTACATTTTTCTGAAATACAATATTTACCCAAATTTGATGTTCACACACAATATGTCATTGTCTTCAATATTGATAAGGTATGAATGACTGGAAGGAGGAAAGGAATGCAACATATATTGCTAAGCAGTTTACAAAAGGTGTAAAGACAAGCGAATCTGATAGAATATTACAAAATTTATTCTGATATATCTTGTTCAGGAAGTATCTATCTAGTAATGAATTATAATCCATTACATCAGAAAATTAAAATATAAAGTGTTTAGGTGACTTCATGAGGATTTTATGGTTTCAAAATCCATCCAAACTCCCCAAAAATGTGAGCACTTTTTTGGGGTGTCTACTCCTGCCTTTGTGCAAGGATCACAGTGTTTTGTGAACTGTTTCTCTGCCTTTCAAACTCATCTATGTCAACAAGTCTTGACATGCGTTGGGTGCCCTCTGTTGGCAGCAGTAGACCCTGTACTTGTAATTCATCAACATAGTCTTTCATCAGGTGCTCAATCTGAGATGCCTGAAAATTGGGCAAAAGAATAATATTACCATGGACTGCAACAAGTGTTATCAGTGACAACAAACTTATGAATCGTATAACTGAACATTATCAACAATGACAATATTTCTAAGAATACTACCTCTAACACTTGATTGCCTCTCCCCCTGAAACTAGTTTCTGAGTCAAAAGGTTGTCTTGAATTATATTTTTAAAATATATATATATATATTTTATTTATATATATATATATATATATATATACGCACAAAATGTCCAAAGTAGTACAGGTGTTCAGTCATAAATATTGCACAGATAAATAAAAACAGAATGCCATTTTCTCCAACATGTTTCGTTGTTTACTCTTCAGGGAGATTGTAGCGGTTACAGTATGACGTCATTACATATATATTGTGACGTCATAATAGGGACAACATTCTAGAGCGACAAGGTCACAGCTCGCAATGGTTTAACATTGGTTTGTACTTGTCTATGAAGTAGTGTTCTTTTAAAATTTGTTTTACTTTGTCCGAATTTTGAACTTGATAAAAAGGAAATGTTGTAAATTTAACATCGTTTCCTTTCGCACAGACATCTAGATGTTCACTCAGTGGGATACATCGGGTTTCAGGACACTTTATTTGTTGTTTGTGGACACGAACCCGGCTCTTAAATTTTCTGATTGACCAATATACTGTTCATTACAGCCTGTGCATCGAATACAATATATATGTAATGACGTCATACTGTAACCGCTACAATCTCCCTGAAGAGTAAAGAACGAAACATGTTGGAGAAAAAGGCATTCTGTTTTTATTTATCTATGCAATATTTATGACTGAACACCTGTACTACTTTGGACATTTTGTGCGTGTATATATATATATATATATAAATAATCTGTTTGATTGGCATTTTAGAAGTTGATGGATAATAGAAAAGTATAATACTTTATGGATGACAACTTCTTTATTTATTATGATGCGATGTTTCGGTATAGCTTCTTATATCGACTTATATACATATAATAGGGATTAAGTAAGACAACCTGGGGGAGTACATCAAAGGGATTAACAACAACAATCAAATAGGTAATAATACAATAACAATGGGAGGAAGCCAATGTTGAGGAGGCGGAAGAAGATATACATAGCAGATGGGATTAATTAGCAATGATGGCTGGAGTGCTCTGTTCCATTGTTTTTATCAGTTCATTGTAGGCGGAAGGAATGGGGTATCCTTGGTCTCTGTTGATTGAGGGCTTGTGTCGGCGGATTTGAATTGCTTCTGCCAGTTTTCTTTTGGTAAAGTCCTGGACATTTTTTGATAATATTTCCACATTGTCCCATTCGATGTTGTGATTAGGACAGTTGATTATGCGTTCCGAGATAGCTGATTTACGGTCTGAGTTTTTGGTTGATGCTAGGTGTTCTTTAATTCTTAGGTTTATGGGACGGGAGGTTTGCCCATCATAGGCCTAACCACAGTCACAGCTGATCTTGTAGACAGCTCCTTTGGGTTTTTGTTGTTTGGAGGTGTTCCTGCCATTGGCTTGGAGTAGAGTTTTCAGTGGGATGGAGCTGGTGAAATGAGTTTCGATGTCAGCTTGTTGTTTGAGGAGACGGCTGATGTGGTGGGAGGTCTTTCCTATGAAGGGGATGGTATGATACGGATGGGTGCTGGTTCGGCTTTGATGGTGTCCGGTTTTTCCTCACCAGACGCGCCATCAACCTTTGCTCTACCGACTTCACTGCAGAAATCAAGCACCTCCGCCATTTCTTCACCCAGTTTAACCACTACCCACCCAAGCTAGTTGACAAAATCATCAGCACCACCCTCCATCCAGCAAGAAAACCAGATACCATCAAAGCCGAACCAGGTTAATGAGAAGCCAGAGTTGGTTGAGTTATTTGTGGATTAGGTGGTAGTAAGCTGTTGGGATGAAATAGCCATGATTCCTATTATAGAGGGATTAAAACGGCGTATTTACAATGCCTCGGCGAATTTGTGCTGAGTGTAGTCATGTTTGTTGTTTGTAAGTGTTATGACAGTGTCCCAGTTGATGTTGTGTTGAGAAAATTTGGTGATGTGTTCTGAAATGACTGATTTGGTGTCTGCATTGTTTGTGGATGTCTTATGTTCTTTGATGTGTATGTTGAGTGGTCTGGAGTGAGTGAGTGAGTTTAGTTTTATGCCGCACTTAGCAATATTCCAGCTATATGGCAGCGGTCTGTAAATAATCGAGTCTGGACCAGACAATCCAGTGATCAACAGCATGAGCATCGATTTGCGCAATTGGGAACCAATGACATGTGTCAACCAAGCCAGCGAGCCTGACCACCCAATCTCGTTAGTCGCCTCTTACGACAAGCATGGGTTACTGAAGGCACATTCTAACCCGGACCTTCACGGGTCCTTTAGATATGAAGGATAACTGTCATTGAAGACACTCATGAGTCATGCAGACAATCTTGTAGACAATGCGAGAGGAGACAGGGAGCCAATTGCAAGGCTTTGAGAACTGGTGTTATATGCTGTGATTTAGAGATTTTGGACATACAACTAGCTGCTGAGTTTTGAATCCTTTGTAGCTTGAAGATGGCTTTGTTTGGAAGATTTGGATACAGGGCATTACAGTTAGCAATCTTGGAAGACACAAGACACTGCATCAACAGCATGGCAGAAGGTGTATTCAATAGGTAATGCACTTTGCCGATGTTATAAATGATGTGAAAACAAGCTCCCAGATTACAAGCACTGCCGGTTGGAAACACTGCAGTATTTCCGATTCAAATGCTAACAAAATCAGGATGGATTTGTCTTTGTTGCCGTCTTGAACCCAGGATCAAGAACTCTGTTTTTTCTTCATTAAGTTTCAAGTAATTGGAACTCATCCAGCACCGTATGTTGTCAATGCAATGCTCTAATCTTGTAAGGTTGAACGAGAAGTCAGCCGTTTGGAATGAGATATAAACCTGGTTGTCATCAGCATACAGATAAAATCCCATTGAGTGTTTCCTTATAATGTCACCTTATAATGGGAAAATGTACACAGCTTACAAGAGGAGGGCCAAGAACCAAACCCTGAGGCACACCCGATTTATTTGCTTATCAGAGAGCACATCTTGAATTTTCACAGACATTGAACGATCAGATAGATATGATTTAATCCACTGAAGTGCAGTTCCATGGACACCAAGGCATTCAACTAATCTGCGGATCAATATGGCATGGTCAATAGAATCAAAAGCAGATGACAAATCCAGGTAGCACAAGAGTAACATTTTGATTACCCATGGAGGACAAGATATCATTGTGGACCTTTGCAAGAGCAGTCTCGGTGCTATGGCAGGGTTTGTAGGCAGATTGAAATGAATCAGCAAGATTGTTTTCTTTTAGATGACACTGTAATTGTGATGCTACTATCCTCTCCATACACTTAGATACAACGGACAAATTTGACACGGGACGATAGTTCTTCAAAACATTAGGATCCAATCCAGGTTTTTTTTTATGAACGAGTAACAATGGCATGTTTCATTTCTTGTTGAGATTGAAGTATTGATGATTTCCTTTCAGTCTGATCCTTTCATCTAAGTGAAGGATCTTTACCTTGATAGACAAATGTTCTAGTACCTTGACTGTAAAATCTTGGAACTCCTTTTCTGGGAAAGGTTATTTATCCAGCAGATCCTTATTATTGGTATTATAAGTACTGTTCCCTTGTCCTCGAGGCAAGGAGTCATAGAACACTTCGTGCGCCACTAGTTTATGAGCAAAAGTATATCTAGTTGAGTTGTGGTTCGATGCGTCCACTTAGAGATCCAATCCATGTAAAGATTAATCCTCTTGATCAACTGACCATCCATCCTGTTATCCTTGTGCTCTGAAGTAATGATAACATAATCTCGGTCTGTGTGACCCAAGCAGTACCTACTGAGCATGCTGCTCATGGCATCAGAGTGTGTGAGTTTAGTTTTACGCTGCTTTTAGCAATATTCCAGCAATATCACACCAGAAATGGGCTTCACACATTGTACCCAAGTGGGGAATCGAACCCGGGTCTTTAGCATGACGAGCGAAAGCTTTAACCACTGGGTTACCCCACCGCCCCTCATTCTGGGCAGTGGATAATGTCTACCCCTATATTTTTTCGGCAGGGCTGAACCTTGTCTCTCCCTTAGAAAAGGACAGATATCCTGTCTGCCAGTCCCTTGGTATGATTAACGAAAGGCTTCAGAGCTGCAGAGAGGGCCTTCTCCATTACATCCTTAGGCAATGGAACTTACTCCACTGAAGGACTTATAGGTAAATTCAAAACTGAGTCAGACTGTATATCTGAGATCTTGATAGGCCCCAAAGCGATCTTTGCAGGAGGATTAGTGTGATGTTTCTTGAGCAATTATTTTTGGGGTAATAATCTATATTATTAAAGTTTAACTCCCACAGGCCATGGACAGACAGGTGCTCTACCGGGAGACAGCACTCTACCGCGCAAGCATGCATGTGCGGAACGAGCTTGCGTGCGCACTCATCTTTCAGTCCCTCGGCTGCAGCCGGCGTGTATGGACATCAAGTGCAGAAACTGATCGACAAGCTAAGTTGGGCAGCACGTGCAGTCCGTACATTTCTCAGGCATTTGATTGACGTGTGTAACAGCGTCCGATATAAACATCACTTCATTGCACTTAATGCCTCTGCTAGAGCAGATATCAAGTGGTGGTTTGATTTCATGTCAATATTTAATAGTACTACTTTTGCAATCCAAGGTGATCCAATATCCTACGAGGAGTTTGTGACAGATGCGTGCGACATCGGCGGCGCCGGGATTTACAGTGGTGATTGGGTTTACATAGTGTGGCGTTCTGACGTGGTAGGTTTGTGTAATGAACATATAAACATCAAGGAACTAGCGATTGTTGGCGTGGCGGTGAGGCGATGGGCGGCGGCATGGAGCGGGAAACACGTGATCATTTATACCGATAACTCGGCAACCATCAATAAAGGCACCTCACTCAATCCAGCAGCAATGAAGATTTTAAGAGACTTATTTTGGCTATCTGCATTTTACGGCTTTCACTTAATTTCTAGACACATTCCGGGTGTGAGTAACCCAATCAGTGACAAAATCTCTCAGCTCCACGTTAAAGACAATATGTCATGGTTACATAATGCTGGATATGACATGAACTTGTTGAACCATATGTATCTCAGTTCTATGACGCTTTAACAGACCCAGTGGGAGCAGACCTGCGTCAGATAAACACCAAGGTGACGTCATACAAACAGGCGGCCTATGCATACACGACTAAGAAAACCTACTCTGCGATGATCCGATGTTATCTCAGGTTCTGCCTATATTTCAGTCTTACACCACTTCCAGCTTCTACTCTGACCATAGCTCGTTACATAGCCTTCCTAGCGCACTCTCTCAACGCTAACAGTATACCCCGATACCTCAACGTCATCAGACTACCACATCTCAACTCTGGCTTCGACAACCCCCCTCACAGCATGGACGCTAAGTCTAGTTAAAAGGGGTGTCATGCATGTTAAAGGCAAGCCACCAGCACAGAAATTGCCTATCACGCCAACCATTCTGCGACAAATCAGATTTAAACTCGACTTATCTATCCCTTTTAACATCGCATTTTGGAGTGCATGTTTGGTGGCTTTCTTTACCTTTATGAGGAAGTCTACACTGCTACCTGGTAAACAAAGTAAATCTCCTGATCGCCAATTGTGTATTCGCGATGTTAATGATGTTACAGTTTATGTGACCATCCGACACTCCAAGACCATTCAGTTCGGACAGAGGGTGTTACAACTGCCACTAGCCAGTCTGCAGAGTTCTCCTTTGTGTCCTGTTACAGCGCTCAGGTCACTTCGTGATATCCAGGGCAAGATACCGCCTACAAATCATCTGTTTTCTTTCATGTGTGATGGAAAGATCAGTGGTCTAACCTATAGCTCCTTCTTCAAAGCACTGAAGTGCGGAACGAGCGTGCGTGCGCACTCATCTTTCTACGGGACAGAGAAGTCAGTCCCACGGCTGCAGCCGGCATGTACGGACACCCACCCACCTCCCTGGGTATACCTTTTATCTCGATAGTTTTTAAACTGTTATTTAGAAGGGAGGATTTTATGTATTTTACGAACAGTTTGTCATTTTTTATGTGTCAATCGTAATAAAATTGACATTGTATCCCCAACACCTGTAATGTTATATCTTGGAAAGAGTTAATGTCCCATCTAAATAACATGGGCACAGGTAATAAATGTTTACAAGCCTGTCTTGAGGCAAATCAACATGGATTAACAACTGTGGGGGACATCACTTGGCAAGCAGAGACATTCTTTGTGCCTGACAGGGATGCAGAAATAAATTCCTTCAAATAATACCTTCAGATTTTTCTCACAGTATAAGCAAAATATTGCCAAACCTTAGAAGAAAGTGGAATTTTCTTTCACTGGACAAGTAGGCACATGTCAACATTATGATGAAAAATTTGGAGATAACTATTGCAGATAGTGTTTGGTCGATCACCAGGAAGAAAGACAACACTATTGTCAGACTTTCATTATTGTCAACCTGCAGATTCAGAAACAATCTTCAGGAAAAAGGTCAAGTGTCAGTGTGATGTATTTGTAAGAATTAAGCCTTTTCATATTTGAGAACTGTACATGGACAATTTCTATGTCTTGTTCATATACAAAAATTAGTTTGGTTCCCATGCCCAGTAATCAACACCATCCACTTGCATCAAAGTATGAAAACACCATATATTGTTATAAACTAGAAAAACCGGAAATATCCAAACAATTTTTGCGGATATACACCTTGACATTCAACTGTTTCATGTGTGCCATGATTTGTAGAGTATATATGGTTTGAATACTAAATTATTCTAATTAAAAAGTTGACTATGCAAAATCTAATCTGACCCCAAAAAACAACACCCCAAAATTTAACTGAGTGAGTGAGTTTAGTTTTAAGCCGCACTCAACAATATTCCAGCTATATCATATGGTGGCGGTCTGTAAATAATTGAGTCTGGATGAGAAAATCCTGTGATCAACAGCATGAGCATCAATCTACGCAATTGGGATACAATGATGTGTCAACCAAGTCAGTGAAGCTGACCACTTGATCCCACAGTCGCCTCTTATGACATGAGTTACTGAAGACCAATTCTAACCCAGATCTTCATGGGTCCCGAAATTTAAATTTAGTAACAATTACAAGCAGTCTCTGAGCAATACACAAAGATGTGACTATCAACATTGTTAAAATGTGTTATGGCTGTGTGTGTGTAGTACCAGTTTGGTTTCTAGTGGTGTGCTGGTTGTTAATTCGAAAACTCACCTGGTTCGTATTAAACATAAACTTTGTTCCCTTGGCAACATGTCCAATGACTATCATGATGCTTTTGATGGCAGGACTGGAGTGAACAATCTCTGAATAACTGTATGCAGCAAGCTCTCTCTAAAAAATAATCAACAGTGTCAGTTGTCATATTGCTACATTTGATTGATATGATTCCTACTATAATTCAATGAAAGTGAGAATCAACTTTTCATTTGTCCTATATTAAACAAAATCACTTGAAAGCAGACATGCACCAGTGTTTGCTTTTTTAAATCGCTCAGGCTACACATAAATATTCAAAACAGATGATATACAATATTGTTAATATTTATATTGAAGGAAAATATTTTTGTCAATAATATGACACAGCTGATTTAGACAGATTTCTGTAACATTAGTTAGACATACAAACACTACATAAAAATAGTGGTACGGGACTGCTGCCCTTCAGGTTCACTCAATTTGAGTTGAATGTTTTATGTTGAGAAATCTTCATGAAGTAAGGAAACATTTAAGAGCCTAGTTATGTAACAAACATAATTGTAAAGTATCATTGCCTTCAGTAAGGCAGCATTATGCATTTGGTATTTGAGATATATATTTCCTTTTTGAAACTCAGTCGACAGTGCTATTGACATGCTATCTATCAACAAAAAGTTTCATTGTTTCTTGTTTAACGCTGCACTTAGCAATATTCCAGCCAAATTGCGGATGTCTGTAAATAATCGGATCTTGACAAGACAATCCAGTGATCAACAGCATGAGCATCAATCTATCCAATGAGGATACAATGATGTGTCAACCAAGTCAGTGAAGCTGACCACTTGATCCCGTTTGTCGCTTCTTACAACAAGCATGGGTAGCTGAAGACCAATTCTAACCCAGATCTTCACAAGTGTAATAACAGAAATTTGAAATTTTTAATATAAATTGTATATCTATATACTTATCCTATCTCACGACTTTCACCTCCTTCAAATTTTGGTGGAACGACTGTAAACTTTTTTCCATAGGCCTCCTTGTCCATTCGCTCATGCACTCCTTGCTGCTCTCCTTAATTAGCTTCCAAGTCCCTAATGAAGCTTACAGCATGCCCCACTAATTACCCATGTAACTACCTCTGAATGATCATTCTTGTCTTGGAGCCAACATTGTAATTTTTAAACTTATCCCATCTCACGACTTGCACTTATCCCACTGTTGGGCGGCAGGCCACAAGTTACCCTTCTGTTTGGACAGTGCCAACAGCTGGTACAGGAGCTGTGTGGACTGATGACAACCATAGATAGCGATGTGCAAGGGACGCCTGTTACCCCCGTAATTAAAGTCTTATGACTAGAATCGGGCCAGCCCCTGCTTCGAGCAGGCCCTATTATGATATAGGTCTTGGATCCCAGTGAGGGCTCTGGTGAAACCCCTTTTCTAACTGGCGTGCTGGTCTGCTTATGGGGGAATAAACTCAGCAAAGAGTCCAAAGTCACTAGAAGCTAATCACAATTTTATTTTCAAGAATAACATGGGGTGGCCACAAAGAGTCGGTACAACTGTTTGGGCTGAGGGCTAGAGCTAACCTGTGTTGGGATAGTCTAAACCCTACTGACTAACAATGAGAATTGGTGACTATTTATCTAAAATTGAAACAATAAAGACATTACGATTCATTGACTGATACAAAAATGGGTGTGACCTACAATAACCAATGAAATACAGAATATAACAAAATGGGGTGTGTCCTATAGTAATCATTGAAATGACCAGACAGAGGGGAATATTTAATCGTGCTCATCCCATTTCAACTGGCACTGCTGGCACATTTACTGGATGCTTGTAAGCTTACCCTGGGCTAGATTTTAACGAGCCTAATTTGAGGTGTCAATTATAGGTGATGACATGTTTACTATGTAATATAAATATATCAAAGCAGTTATTCAACAGTGTGACTAACAGTTGAGTCCTTAATACCTCAGGCTAGGATTTATCTGGAGACATCTGTGAAACTGTGCAGTCGTAACTTATACCTTTTTCAATAGTATGTCTGTGAGATGAGTTTTATTACTTTTGACTGGAGTCTTTACCCTAAGCTATTACTGATCATGATGAAACTAATATTCTATATTATGTTTTCCTAATATCTGAATCCTAATATATTGCTTGTAGTGGTAATAATGAAGAATGAATTTTGTATGAATCATTGGTGGATCCAGAGGGTTCGAACCCCCCCCCCCTTTTGAAAATGCCTTAAAACCACATTGAAGATTTATTTTCTTACCTGGTCAACGTGGTCTGGGAAAGCTCAGTTCTTGAAACCCCTGAACCCCCCCTTTCAAAATTCCTGGATCCGCCCATGTGAATTATTATTCCATGATAGCCCCCCCAGACACCGACAGAGGCGGGTGAAAGAGAAGCACAACACAGCAACTCCAAGTTTTAACATTCAGTTCTGGGATGGCATCAAATTCATTCAATCCTTTGCCTAAGGTTAGTCAAAAGATGTGCCTGGCAACTTAGGAGGCAGAATTCGGGAGTGTCACACTTCACTGACATAATTGCTCTGTAGAGTAGAGGTCAGTAAGCGTGAATGCCAAACATCTCTGCATCTAGTTTCTCTAAAATGAGTACAAAAGGTTGAGATTCAGTTCAACTTTTGTTCAGTTTATACAAGGAAGCAGTGATGTGAACGTGGAACCGTCCCTCATCTGCGTTGGTGGGCCGATCTAAGCTGCTGAGCCAGTACATGAGGTCCGGACTTGTGTAGTCCCTGGACATCTGTGACAGACAGGTCTCGCAGGTAATGTGTAGAGAAGACTGTATCAAAACACCAGAAGCAACCTTCCATGATAGTGGTCAAGGAACAGTTGCTATGGAGGGCCATCATCGAGGCTAGTGCACGAATCTCATGAGGATTGGAAGCGGCTGGAGGAGGCAACCCTGCAAAGGTGTAGGTTTGCAGGATCATGGCACGCATTCAGAAGGTCAACGTGGTCCGGAAACCTCAGTTCTTGAAGCGATAGACAAGGATATGAAGAGGCGCCTTCGTAGCTGTCGACGATCCTTGGCGGCAGGAAGGTAAACGTATTGAGCCCTAACAGGGCAGAGTGTCGAGTCTTCAGTATCATCCGGCCTAAAGATGGTGGACAACGGGGGAATGGAAAACATCTGGCCCGGTTCGCAATGAAGTCCCAGTGGAGACCCAGGAAAGCGTTGCGGTGCTTCTTCCACTCGAACCGCACCCGACTGACATCATGGAGTTCAGATATACAAGCAGCGGTAGCTAAAGCTACCAGGAAGAATGTCTTGAATGTCACTTGTTCCAGTCCTTGTCTTCTAAAGGTTCATAGTCTGTAGAAATCATATGACGAAGGACGATGGACAGATCCCTGGACGGAGGTCTGAACTTCCTGGACTTGGTTAGTGAGTCTATAGGAGCATAGTAGACTCTGCAACTCGGGAACAGTGGACATCATCGTGCCCCTGGTAGTAGCCAAAGCTAGTTCATAGCAGCCTACTTCAAGTAGGTAGCTAAAATAGTACCTTTGAGTTTCTTAGTAGTGTGGAGATGCTGGAGAAACTCAGCAATGACCTGAGCAGAGGCACATGTGGGATATGCAATTCCCCTAACCTTGCAATAGTCTTCACAGTTCTTCCATTTATAGTCGTACAAGGAACGGGTCGAAGTACGATGAGCTGTGGAAGTAATAACTGTGGCCACTCAGTGAGAGTTGCCCTTAGCTATGAGTGATCTCTGGAGATCCACCAAACATGAAGATTGAGGGTCTGAGGATCCCCCGTGGCATAGTTCTGAGTGAAGGTGAAGAAGCAGGTCGTCCCGGTTGAGAAGCGGTACTGGCCAGGCTTCTTAGGTTGACAAACAAACTTCTCGCAGGCCAGAAGGGCGCAACCAAAAGCAGTAGTATTTTGCTGGTGGCCAATACTTTCTGTATTACTCTTTGTAGCAGAGCTGGAGGGGGAAATGCGTAGGCGTTGAGACCCTCCCATGATATTGCCAGCGCGTCAAGGTCCCAAGCCAAGGGGTCTGGGATTGGTGATATGAAGTTAGGAAGTTGGTTGTTGAACTTTGTGTTGAACAGGTCTATTTGGGTCTGTGATAAAGGGTAGATCATCGACTGGAAGATCTGGGGCAGTAGCTTCCACTCTGTCGGGGACGGACGATTGGATTGGGACAAGGCATCGGCGATCACATTTTTTACCCTGGGAATGTGTCTGGCTATAGCTATGATGTTTACTGAGTTGATGAGATGGAAGAACCTGATCGATCACTGTAGCAGATTCGCCGAGCCTGTCGAGCCTAGATGGTTTATGTACCAAACCATGGTTGAGTTGTCTGATTGGATCAGCAAACCTTTTGATCAAAGCTCTGTTGCCCAATGTGTACCACCTTGAATTTCAGCTCGTTTATGGGAAGTACCTGTTCGCCAGATGACCACAACCTGGCCACAGCCCATTCCCTTGGGGTTGTCGGCCTGAAGATACAGGCGTAGAAATCGCTGTATCGGCCGAAGTTGGAGCTGACCTCTTTACGTTAGGGCTTCAGCTGATGTCAGAAGGCCCCGTAGCTCCTGCCACTGATGTAAGGTTCTCGCCTGAGACAGTGCTGGAGGAATGCATCGCTGAATCTTTATCAACCTGTCGTGAGGGACGAACATCATCCCCTGACAAGTATCGACCAGCGCTCTGATGAATTGGAGTCTCTTGAGTCAGTATTAGTTCTGATTTCATGATGTTCAACAGCCACCCTAACTGCTGGAGCAGTGTGGTGGTGAACTGTAGTTGGCAAAGCAGTACAATCAGTTCCTGTTGAGCCTGGAAGCAATCTCTGTAGCGCCTCTGTAGCTTTCAAAGGTGATCCCTTGAGCTTGTGATCGGCTTGATAATTCAGGTAAAATGCCAAGGGAAATTCCAAATGGTAGGTCCTTCCATTAGTAATGATTCCTGTTGAACACGAAGCGAAGGTACCTCCGGTTCTCTGGATCTATCAGAGTGTAAAGGCAAGCGTCCTGAAGATCAAGGCTGATGAGGAAGTCTCCCTTCTTCAAGATGGTGCATAATAGGTTGATCGACACCATCCTGAAGTGAGGAGGTGGAAGCAGAAATTGGACATTGAACAACTTCAAGTTGAAGATGAGCCAGAGCTGTTAGAATTCTTCTTTGGAACCAAAAAATATGGGAGAGTAGAAGCCTAGAGTGACGAGCGATGGACCTAGGAGTCTGGAGCTGGTCCCCAGGATAGGAGCAATGAGCTGGATGTGATGTCAGAGGTGGACTGCCGATAATGGGTAGCTGGTAGACATGAAGTAGCAGGTTGGTGACGTACGGATCGTTGAGGATGGTCCAATTTGGGGCATAGATCTGTAATCTCCCACCTGCCGGAGTGTTGAAAATCGGAGCGGTTGGGGGCGTGAGGTCCCAAGTCTGGGCCAGAGTTTGTCTTTGGGGGGGAGGGGGAATGCAACAGAAGGAACCACCATGGCCAGACTTCTTTCCTCTGCCACGGCCTTGAGGGGATACGCCATGAAAAAGATTGCGTAAGTCCAGATTGGTAGGGGTGAACTGTGCAGTTCGATGCTGTCTTAATGAGTCCTGGAGATGTAATTTCTGTAGTTTCAACAATTCAATCGAGACTTGGAAATGGGTTTCTTTATCAACCTTAGTAGACACCTCTTGGATGCTGATGTTGAACAGGGGGGTCAGTGAACCATGGCTGGCGAAACAGTTCTGTCTTGAATCACTCCTCCCAATATGAGATGTTAAGGGGTCCACATTGGCGCACAGCAAGGGCGTAGCCCAAAAAGTGAGATAACTGATCCAAGATAATTTGGAACTGGTCCTCCGAGTTTTCGAGTGATCCAGGTCATCTGCTGAAGGACTCAGTTGGAGCTTCTAAACAATCCAAACGAGTACCCGAGCTGTTTCTACTGCCGCAAAGCTACCCCCAGGGGTAGATATCTCAGATTGAATGGGAGATTCAGGTATGACTTGTTGGACTGGATCAATCTCGGGAGGTGGACCAGATGAAGAGCCAGGTGCTACGGAAGCTAGATGAGCTGGAGTAGAAGGCTGCATTTGGTTCCAGGCTGAGGTGATGGCCCTGATCATCATATTTAGATCCGGAGTCGGGGTAGGAGTGGGATTGTGATCAAATTCCCATAACTTAGCAATGATCCTGGAGTGGGTTGAAGGATCCGCAGAGCGTGTAGGCGGAATGTCGTAAGAGACTATAGGCCTATGAGTGGTATCGTAACAATGATCTCCTGAACAACAGTCAGAAGAACTGTCAAGACCTTGACATAGCAAGTTCCGAAGTTAGTCAGTGATCTGGATCTCCTAGATGATCTGTTATGACTAGGTGATCCGGTATGATATAAAGAACTAATCCGGGGTCGATGTAGTTCTAGTTGGTGATCTGATTCAGACTGGAGCTCTGGTTCGACCATCTGAATGGGAACGACTATGAGGTGTGGATCTGTACTGTGATCCAGGCTGGTCAATGGCTCTGTAAGGTGACCTAGATCGGTTAGGTGACCTGGGTTGCTAAGGTGATCTGGATCAATAAGGAGATCTGATTTGCAGTTGGTCCGGTGATCTGGATCGGTCTGGTGATCTGATTCAAAGTTGTGATCTGGATTCGTTCCGTGATCTGGATCAGTTAGGTGATCTGGATTGGTCAGGTGATGTGGATTGTAGTTGTGATCTGGATCATGACTGTGGTAGTCGAAAATGTGATCTATATCCATTCGGTGATCTGGATCGGGTTTGTGAACTTGGAACGGTTCAGTGAGCGCATTCGGTCCGGTGATCTGGAGCAATCTGGTGATCTGGATGGAAGCAGTGAGCTGGTACGCTCAGGTAATCAAGTTAGTGATATAGAACGGGATGGTGATTTGGCTGGACCAGGTAATCTGAATCGTGACAGTGATCTGGATTGGGAAAGTAATCTGGATCGTTGTGGTGATCTAGAACGATGTGGTGATGAAAACCGAAGTGCAGATTCATGATGAACATCCCCCAATGACACAGTTGGAGCCTGCTCTGTCTGGTTCAATGAACTGTGAGGGGACAGTCGGCTTGCCGAACGTGGTTGGCCAGGCTCCAAACAGACTGAGACAGTCGAAGGAGGATGTATCAATCATCTTGATGATGGTAGTGTTGATCTAAGGTCCCCTGATACTGTAGATGCGACAGGCAGCAACGAATTACCGATCAAGTGATCTGATGCCTTGGAAGGAGGTGATTGATGCACACGTAACAGGTGCCGAATGTCCTCAGATAGGTTGGAAGCATCCATAAAATCCTCTTGATCCAAAGATGTTGCTCTCTTGCATAAAAGTAGGCTTGGTGGGAGTGGGATCAGATTCTGTTGTTTTCCTGTCAATTCTTCACAAACAGACACAAAGGTAGGCCTTAAAATCATCATCTTCTAGTGAATTACACTTGCCATATTGTTTAGTCCAGTTACACTATCCAATACAGTCACTGCAAGACGAGTGAGGATTGAGGGACGAATAATTTGTCTTGCATTGCACACAAAACTTTTTGACTGATTATCTGATTTCTCCATGATGTTAGGGTGAAATAATGTCCCTATAATACAGCACGTCCACGCAGTCGTGCAATAAGAAAGAGAATGATCATTCAGAGGCAATTAGCAATTAGTGGAGCATGCTGCAAGCTTCATTAGGGACAAGGAGGTCTATGGGTAAAAGTTTACAGTCGTTCCACTAAAAGTCGAAGCGAGAGAGAGAGGTGCAAATCGTGAGATAGGATGAGTTTAAAAATATATGTTTTCTAATTTCAACACATCACTGCCAGTTTGTGAAAATATATAGAACAGCAGTACCAGAAGTCTAGATAAGCTGCATATCTGCATGAAATACGCATTGGAATTTCCAAAATATGCACTGAAATATATCTGCAGCATCCCAAATACACAAAAGAAATTACAGAAACGCTTTGGTTAGTTGTTGACTTGCCTACACTAACTTACCAGTGAAAAACAAATGTGTAACAGAAAGTTGCTAACTGTTAAATGTTATGAGTGGATCAGGTAGATTATCGATTGAATTTCACTATGTAACTGTTCACTTTATGAACAATCGCCCAAACGCAGCTAGTTGTATTTGCAACACTCATTATAATTATCATCAAATGAAATCTCTCATCTTGTTAGAAAGTCAAGACATACATTGTTTATCCAAAGAGATTGCCTCACAGAAATTGCATGTGCATTCGTCTTCTAAAACATCATCTCAAAGTAAGATTTTGTCATTTGTCACTGTTCGAAATTGATGTTTTGAAAATTCTGTCATTGCAAAAGAAATTATTGATGAACTTATTGAAAACTGTTTTTAATTGGAGGCTGTTATCGATAGAATATTGACAAATTTGCTTACCTCTGTCACTCACGCACTGGCTAGGAAACATGACGGCAATAGACTTTAGAAAAAACAAACTGAGGATGCATAGAAAATTAAGTTTCCAGGGTTATCTTTCAATAAACAATCTGATGAAATGAGACTATGCTGCACGCATTGTCAGTCGGCAAAGAAAAGTTCTCATCTGTGATTACAAGCCCATACCCCCTAAAGTGGCTAAAACGTGTGACACTGAATGACTATTAGTAAGTAATCCATCAAGTTAGCCTTGCATATTTCCATTTATTCAATACGACATTATTGTGATAGTTCAAACAGCTAACAGAACCGGTTTAAAATGACATTCATGCCGACATTTTTGTATTTCAATTTAAACAATGAAATCTGAAGTACAAACAATTGGCTATAGTTATCTTTTTCACATTTTTAAATTACTGACAGAGAAAATACCCACATTTTAAAAAAGTGTGGGTATCAGTAAATTTGAGTACCCACTGAAGTACCCATATGTAACAGACACCATGGGTAAAACACCCAGATTGCGAAAAGCTTATCTGAAGCTCTGGCAGTACATCTTCAAAAAAGGTAAGTCCTGTTGCTTCAAGTTACACTAGGTTCATGGCTATGCAGGTAAAAAGTACATTGGGGTTAGAGAAACAAATCTGCAAGTAGTCTGTTCAAACAAAAATCATTTTGTGTGTTTGTGAAAATCAGCAAAGATAACAAATAGTGTAAGATAATTTCCTTGAAGAATTATACTTCCAGATTCACTCCATAAATATTTGTGGCTTTATGGCTTGATAAGGCAAACTTAACACTATTCAATAAAAGTCTCTTTGTCCAATGTATTTGTATTTATATGCTACTCTCCTGTTGGGGTAAGCATTACTTACAAAGGTCTTGCTCTCCAGAAGATGTATTCCATCTTTGTCAACGGCCAACAGTAGTGTTTTGGGAAGAGCAGATGTATATGTTTGCTGAAAACAAGTTCATATTCTGTAAATTCTTGTCACAAACATGAAGTTCATTTACAAAAAAATAATTTTATATTACATTAGGTGTAACTCCTTACATATCAACAGAAGACATCTATGGTCTGTCAACCTAACTTTTGGAACACATTTTTTTGCAAGTTACGTTTAAACAACAAAAGGTATCCAACTTTTATTCGCTCAGTTAATAATAAATTTTAGCAATTCAACACCTAATTAGGTTGTCAGATATCATTATTAACTGAGCGAATAAAAGTTGGATACCTTTTGTTGTTTAAACGTAACTTGCAAAAAAACGTGTTCCAAAAGTTAGGTTGACAGACTATAGTCAGTATTCACAATTAAACTAGAAGTTGAGCCAAGAATAAATGTCCAGTTTACGACTATTTTACTGATTCAACCTTCTGTACTCCAATGTAACATAATTGAATAGATATATTATCATAAGTGTGTTTCGATTTTAGTCGCATCAATGTTTCAGCCATATCGTGACCTTAAAGGGGCACTGATCCAGAGCAATTTCTGTGGACTGGTTGTTGCTTTTGTTATTGTTTTTCTCCCATGAGTACCTGGATGATATCCCCAAATTCTTGACTGGTTCGTTACCTCTGCTGCCCCACCCGCATGCGCAATTGATAGTACAAGTATAGACTGATCAACAAAGATGAAATCTATTTTACTCGATAATATTTCCATCTTCATTATTTTGATAACAAATGAAATAGTATAGATGATGGAGGTACGATCGGGCAAAGGAAAAATAATGATACAATAAGAAGGAAGAAAAAGAAGAGTTGCATTCGTGCATTTGAGTATATAGAGACACTTTTTGTCTTCCTTGTTCTCCTTTCTGCAATAGTCGACCCAACACCAAGACAGGTATGCGGAAAACAAAATGGAGTCCAACACACAAAACAAAAACAGTATGTCGATGGGGGTTTGGACCACTTCCCTACATTGTGTTGTTTCTACACCTCCCCCAAACAGGGACTTCCCCCATGGAAAACCACCAGTGAATGTGCACTCCAATTAGAGATATACAGGTACATAGGTATAGAACACAACAATGCCAGGAACCAAGCTATCGTGTGAAGCCTATGCCGAGATCCGATCAGGTGGTTTGTCCCTTTGGGAGGCGAAGAGGAAGTACCACATATCGCAAGCCAGATATACGCGAATCCGGGGCAGATCCGAGACATACATACAGACAACTTCCGACATGGCAGAGTTCTTCGAGACCTTGCTAGAGAAGTGTCCCCATGTCTTGCTTTCTGACAAAGAGAAACAAATCTTGGAGCGATCAGGACACACCTTCTACGAGCGATACCAGATCACTCGACAGTTTCTCGAACTCTATTTGCTGTGCATTCACCAATTCGTAGAGGGGACGCATCATAGTATGACATACTCTAAGGTGATGCCTGTGCAAAGTTTCACGGACCTGTTCCAGACATGGCCAGACAACAATGACTTGACGAATAAGGATCTTCGACAAAAAGCAATATGCCTACTGTCTGTAAGTTTAATGCTCCGACTATCGGATATTGCCCCTAAATCCACTTTGTATGACCACGCTACACATGGTTGTACACATCAGGTTTTCTCCGTTGATCAGATCCATTTTCAGGAAACTTCTTTGAGAGGCATTTTAGAAGTTGGGAAGTACAATATAGAACAAACTTTATGGATAATAACTTCTTTTTATTCGTGAGTGCGACGTTTCGATACAGATTCTTGTACTGTTGTCAAGCATAATGGGACATGAAGAAGGGGGTGTATATATACTGGATGTAACAATGTAACAAAGAAAACAACATAATTAACATAATTGGCTAGGCAGAAGGCTGATGAAGCCAGAGAGTAGACAAAGGACAGGCGTAGAGGCCAATGATGTACAAATGATAATGACATGTTTATACAGCAGTGAGTTTATACAGTAGATTGGGCTTGGTGGATGAGTGCATCATAGGCGGATGGAATGAAGTATCCTTGGTCTCGGTTGATGGTGGGCTTTTGGCGTTTGATGTGGATGGCCTCGGTGAGCTTGCGTTTAGAGAAGTCTGTTTGTTTGTTAGTTAGAGAGAATGGTGATGTCAGACCACTCTATTTGATGATTGGGGCTTGCTTTGATGTGGTCGGAAATGGCTGATTTGCTGTCGGAATTGGTAACAGAGGTCTGATGTTCACATCACATCAAAGCAAGCCCCAATCATCAAATAGAGTGGTCTGACATCACCATTCTCTCTAACAAACAAACAGACTTCACTAAACGCAAGCTCACCGAAGCCATCCACATCAAACGCCAAAAGCCCACCATCAACCGAGACCAAGGATACTTCATTCCATCCGCCTATGATGCACTCATCCACCAAGCCCAATCTACTGTATAAACTCACTGCTGTATAAACATGTCATTATCATTTGTACATCATTGGCCTCTACGCCGGTCCTTTGTCTACTCTCTGGCTTCATCAGCCTTCTGCCTAGCCAATTATGTTAATTATGTTGTTTTCTTTGTTACATCCAGTATATATACACCCCCTTCTTCATGTCCCATTATGCTTGACAACAGTACAAGAATCTGTATCGAAACGTCGCACTCACGAATAAAAAGAAGTTGTTATCCATAAAGTTTGTTCTATATCATTTTCAGGAAGATGGGACTGCGAAAATTACTTTCTTTGGGATCAAGAATGATACCAACCGCAATGGTTTTGAGGTTCTTCTTCCTCCTCACACCAACAGGAAACTTGACCCTGTGTTTACTGTTAAGGACTATATTTCCCTCCTCCAAACGGAGCAGTGTTTGTGACATTAAAGAAGCCTTTTAAGGCTCTTGACTCTTCGTGTGTGAGTCGTATACTCGAGGACAGCATCAGTAAAGCAAGACTGGCTGGAAAAGGTTCCACTGCGAAGTCTTTTCGACCCACTGGTGCTACACACGCCATTGACACTGGGACGGATCCACACATTGTTCAGAAAATGGGCCGCTGGAAAAGCACTGATGTTTTTTAAAAAACATTATGTTCACTCCCGAACCCCCTTTGATTTCACTGACAATCTTCAGTGTTAAAAGTTCAATTATCAGCATCAGTGATGTGGTTGGGTTTTTTGCAATTTTTCTTGCTCCTAAGACAGCGACTACTATTTCGTCATTATCATTGTGTACTGTTTGGATATCTGTTTTGAGCTTTCTCATTAGTCATTAGGGTGTTTATGAGAAAGCCATTGTTCCCCACAGTTTCATAGATCATCATTGTTGGTTACTCTTTAGAAAGGGCTATTATTTTAATTAAATGTTCCAAACATTTCATGAGCCTGTTGTTGGTCACTATGACGTAGGTTTCCCAAAAGTGTAGTCATGTGACCAACCTAATGACGTCATGTTGAAAGCGATGTCATACATCGCTTACGTCAGTCTTGTTCTGAGTTATTTTCCCTATTGTTATTGACATTGTATACATGCAATATGAGCTTCTATAGCCATGTCATATATGGAGTGTACATTGTCAGGACTAGGGCTATTATTTTAATTAAATGTTCCAAACATTTCATGAGTCTGTTGTTGGTCACTATGACCAAACTCGAAAACTTCTTAATATCTTTCAACTTGGCAGATATGTGATTTGACATATTACATGCCAGGGGGATAAAACTCAAACGTTTGGACAGAACAGAAATTGGTCCATTTCTGAAATTGTAAAAATTAAAGCAAATCCTTCGAGTTTTTGAGAATCGTCATGGTACAGTGGAAGCTCACAAAACTGGCAGCCCTCCAATCTGGCATACTCTCAATATTGGGACTAGAATTTAGTCCTGGCAGAAGCTAGTTAATTTATGATCATTTACACACCCTCTAATCTATTCTGCATTTCGGCACAACAAAGACCACCCAATTGACTGTTTGTACAGTAATTAACACTCTCTAAACCGGCATCCGGTACCTGGTTTCTCCTGTTGATGTCTGATTAGCTGCACGTGTATTAACAACACAGTGTACTACCATTGGCATTAAGCTCATTGATGAAGCCTGATAAAAGGAGTATTGATAAGGATTATGCCTAAGTAGGTGACGTAAATTGGTGAGTGACATGTGTCACTTGTATTATAAATTGATTGTCGTGTCACAATTTGTCAGTCGCTCACCATACCAAGATGGCTAGATTTGAATTAACTCTTGAATGCAGAAAACAGTGAATGGGAGGCGGAGATTCAAGCCAGGGCAACGCCTACAACCCCAGGAGCCAACCAATCGTCTGACGAAGAAGATGTCGACCCCCCTGACCTTAGCTGTCCCTTCAAGTTGTGCTTGTTACCTTTATTGATGAATAAAGAATATGATGACTATCAACATGTTGTTCAGTCGTATTTTACAGCTCACGGAATATCATTCCCAGGTTGAAAAAGACAAAGTTCTCTAAACCAGCATGCCCTCTATACCGACACTTCCACTGTATTTGTAATAACCAAGTTACTTGTTCTTAACATAAGCCTGGACAAAAGTTAAGCAACAACCCATATTTTTCTGTGTGATCACTTTTGAGATTGTGGGAAATTTTCATTAGTTTTATAAACAAAAAAGAAACGTGCTGTTTGATAGCAAATGACAAAAGCAAACTATGACAAACTCACTTTTATTCATTTTAAGTGTGTACACTGAAAAAATGATACTTTGCTGAATGGTACATTTTCACAGAAAAATTGCCATGGTATAACTCCAGCTGAGCCAGATTCTGCACTGGGGGGTCACAGTTCCTGATTGTCCTACCCAAATTTTCCCAAATATTGTTGATCTGGTTCAGATCCGGACTACAAGCTGGCCAAGGCAGGGTGGTGATGGCTTCTTGTCACAATAACTCGGTTACTGCTCTGGCTCTGTGTGGCCTTGCATTGTCGTCCATGTACACAGGTCTTGTGCGTGGAGGGTGGTTATCAAAATGAGAGATAACAACTGGACGTAAGATGGCATCCTGATATTGTTGACC